TACCTTAGACCACTGCTTGCCCCATGTACATCTTGCATTTGTAGCTTTAGTCAGATTAGTTCATGCTGTTAAATAAAAGCAGAGAGGTCTTCAGGAAACAGAATAAGGCATAAAAGTTGTGTATTTGTTCCTAGCTTATGTACTTGACATTCTGTTTAAAGTCTTCCTATGTGTTGATCTTGTTAAAATTGTTTACAGGTAAAAGTAAAAAGTTCTGCAATTCCATTTCTGTTGGAGCATTTTTGGATGAGGATGATGATGACATGAGCTTAGAAGAAATTAAAAACAGACAAAATGCAGCACGAAATATCAGCCCCTCTCTGGTGTCCAAGGAGCCCAGCATTGGTGCCATCGGAGATGCTGAGTGTGATATCCTGTCCATGGAGTGTGCAGGAAACATCATAGAGACCTCAGCTCACCCTCGGCACTATGAGAAGGGAGCTGCTGCCAGCAAAAATGGCTTTTGCAGTCCTGTGTCCAGTGAAAGGATCATCAGTGAGAGAAAGCAGCTGCATGATGGGTCAGAATGCCTCATGTCACCCGTTTCCAATTTGATGTCAGAATTTGAAAGCCTGTCATTCCGAGAACAAGAGGTTGCTGGAGTATCTCATAAAATCACTGAAAAAACTGAGAATGAGGGAAATCTGGACAAGACCTGCTCTGCAGTGTCACTGGCAAGTTCTTCTGAGCCAAGTGTTACAGGAAAACATGGAGAGACCAAGTTAAGGACAGACCACAGAATATCATTAGAAAAGGAGAGAGTGTCCAGAGAATCTGGAATTCAGACTAATGAGGCACAACACCATCAAGAACTTTCTTCCCAGAAGTTTATTTTGAAGACTTCACTTACAAATGACAATTTAAAGTTATTCCTTCTTGGGTAAGAATTGCCTTTTTTAAACTTTTACATGCACAGGCAATCTCTTTGCTTGATAAAATCTCTATATAAAATTAAGTGTTTTGGAATCGGGATGTTTTATTGCCTGAACAAATACATGGTTCTCTTTTCATCTGGTACTTTTTCCATTCTAGGGAGCAGCCCTCGAAGCTGGATGGTGATGTCTTAGCAGCTATAGAAGGAGCAGAGATTGATCCCCAGAAATTCCCAATGATTTACAAATGGAAACATGCAGTGCAATCCTGCTCCGTACCTGACAGGCAAAGGTATTGCTGCAAACTCAGTCATAAGAGTTGAAATACATTTTTATCAGGTCAGCTTGTATAGCAGAATTTCAGGCCTTGTTGCTCCCCAAATTGTATTTTAAATATTTTCCAAAAGTTAATCACCAAAGCCTTTTTGACTGGTGTCTATTGATAAGGAGTTTCCTGGTGCTGCAGTCATATTCTTTCCATTGCACTGCTGTTCCAAGTAGCTTGAGCATGTCTTCACAGACAAATCAGACATGACTGTTTTCCACTTGGTCAGTGTCTCACTTGGCTCTTTTGGTACTTTGATCCTTCACTGGACTCAGTGATGGTTGTGCTGTTGGTTTGTAATTCATCCCTATTGTTGATGCAGTGCAGGAATATTGTGTTTGTTGCCTTGTGGTACTTGGGTTGTGCCGAGGGAAGTTAAGATGAATTTAGTATCTTTAGGTATCTTTTTATTAGTTTTTATTTTTACCCTTCATTACCACAGTCCAAAGGAATTGTTCATCTGAAAGATGGTGTGTGTATTCATGGCCATTTTGAAAGAAATTATGTCTTACTGATTGGGGCAACACATCTATACAGAATATTTTGTGCTCTTCCTGTTCCTTCTCCCAGACCTATCTCTTACCAGATAGGATTTTTCTCAGCTGGTGCATTGGTTCTGAGATCTAAAGTGATCCTGAGTTAAAGTGCTGCTCCCACTATTGCAATTTCCTTTAAAAAGTGTGCAATGACTTCTGGTTTCTTTCAGTTGGCCAAGTCCAGCACTGAAAGCAAGATTCCGTTCCCAATCCATGGCTGCTGGCCTTCCAAATGCTTCAGTGTATCCTGGTTCAGGAAGAAACAGTCCCATACCGGGAAGTCCAGGAAAACACGGCAGCGCTGCCTCCTTCCCTCCGGAGCCTGGGAGCCCTGGGCGCTACAGCCCTGCCTCTGTCCTGCGCTACTTTGCAGAGCCTCCTGCCCACTAAAATAGAGCTCATCATCCTGGGACTTCAGTTCTGTTATCATTGTTAGAGTGGAGAAACTACAATGTTACTAAGGTGACATGAGGTTTGTACTTGGCTATTTATTTTTCCTCAATTGAGGACAACTGTATGTTTAAAAAATGGAATATATGTCTTAATGCCATATACAAGGTAGATTATTACTGGTGATAAGCAAGAAGTTCGTGACAGTGCAGTTGTCCAGTAGCTGAATTTAACCCTTGTTGCCAGTACCACAGTGGGCTGAACTGTCCCTCAGCAGTGGTGGTATTTGCTATCACTACTTATTGTAATGAACACACAGCCTTCAACTGCCTTTCTTGACTTTGGAGAGTCGAGGACATGCATCATCAGCAAATAGAACACGGGAGAGGAGATTGATGGCAGGAAGTGAAACGTTCTCCTGCTTGCCAGGGGGAAAAGCCTAAAACATGCCTGGGAATGCAAGGACAACTTTGCAGTGTGGAGTAAGGATGTGAAACCCTGTGCAGAAGCAGAGGGTGTTTCCAGCAAGCTGGGCTGGGCAGTTGGTACCCACACCCACCCTCACCTGTCCGTGTGTGTGTGCACAGATTACAGACACACATCTACTGAGTGCTTTAGAAACAGGGCACTGTAGAAACTATTGGGATCCCTCTAAGTGGTAGTGGGAAGATTTAAGGAAAACTTAAAAATTATTTTTTCCCCAGAGAAGCTGTTAACACTAGCCTGTTTGAATAGTTGTTACACAAAAGCACATGAGCAATAATCTCAGCAAATTTACCAGCAAGATATCTTACCTTAATAGTCTAGTTTGTAATATATTAGCATGGTAGCCAGTGGCCCAGGAGGTGGCTATTTCCCAGCTGTAAAGAGAGAGGACTAAGGACAAAATATTTTTATGAAATCTGAGCTTTTACTGTATCTCTAGTGTTGATGTGGTAATGAGTTTTTGTTACAGCAGTCAATAATTTTATTCTGCAGCCTTCTGTAAGAATGACTTGTTTTGACAGTGTGATGCTGAGAATAAGAAAGCTTTTCAAAACTCCAGAGATTTTTCATGTCAAGCCTAGTGCTTGTAATGTTGCATGAAAAGCTTCCAGAAACAGCTCTCTAGGTTAAAAAAAAAGGGGAAAAAAAAAAACCCCCAAAAAAAGACCTATCTACTGTTAAAAGATAAATCTGATCAGAAAATGAAGCTCTGCAGGGCTGTGCTGGTGAGAAGGGATGGATTAGGATGAGCTGGTGCCAGTCAGTGAGAGCTCAGAGCCACCTGGCAGGGCTGGGAGGGAAGGGCACCAAGTTCAGCAAACACAGGTGAGAGGCAGGAGGGGCTGGCACAGCCTCCCCCAGAGTCCCACCCCACCGGGCCATTCCAGAGCCCGGGGCTGGCCGGGCTGCTCACACGGCAGTGACTGTTCTACACACTGTGCACCCTCACAGGTTCGTGATTGCTACAAACCTAAACACTGCACTTAATGCTTTTGCAAGCTCAGTAGTGCCTTTTGTAATATATTTTTTTAATTAAAGTTTTTGTTCTTTTAGAAGTTTTTTAAAAAAAGTGGCATCCACTTACTATGGGCAGATAAAATAGTTTTTCTCTGGGCTCTCTGAACAGGATGTCTTTTAATGTCTCTAAGTTGAATTATTTGGTGCGATAGCTCTCCATGGGGGGAGAGACTCCTCTTTTAGAAATTATTTGTTAAAAAAAAAAAACCAAACAACTTATTTTTTGCTTTTGCTAAAATTATGCCTAGTTCCATGGAACTAGACATTAGGAAGTTACTTTAGATAAATGCCTCTCATTCAGTCATATTCCAGACAAGTACCAGGGGCCTGGTGGGGGTGTCATACTTTAGGAAACACGTTTTAGAAAAAACTCAGAACTAAAACCATAGCTTTCTGTTACCAAGTATATTAACTGACTTTTTTCATAAGGGTTTTTTGTTGCTTCTTTTTTTTTTTTTTTAATGTAGCAGGCTCCATGGTCTCAAAATATTTTAAGGTCCCACATACCCAGTTTTGTTCCAAAAGGTTTGAGATTGGATTTTTTTTTTTTTGCTGGTTCATTGGGTTTTAAAAATAACTTAATGTAAATTACATCTTTATCTTCCTTGAGAAATTGATCAGGTGAGGTAATTGCCTAATACCATGCTAGAGACAAACTGCCAGCAGCATTGCCTTTTGCTACGAGTTTGTTACTGAGCCAGGAGACTGATACTAACACTCTAGTTCTTTGTCCTTTTTACCTTTATTATGCTTTGCTTTATTTTTTTTAATATTTAAATGTTACTGGTATGTACATGTAGCCAGACACCCCCCACACCCACCCCTCCACCCACACACCCAACACACCCTTGCCTTTCACTTTGTAATGTTGTTTTGGTTCAGTCAGGAGAGTATTTTTTTTATCTGTGTTATATAATGTGCATTAGTCCAGTTGTACTGCACTTAAGTCATTTTTCTAACAATGTGTTACTTCAGCTATGACAAAATAACAATTTATGTAGCGATTTGATCATTTGTGATTTTGTGGAGAAAGCCCTTCAACACTGAGCCTGTGGAGACACTTAAAATCAGAGTGATAGTGCTTGAATTGTGTTTTCTTGGCCAAAAGTTCACTTTTAAAGGTGCAAAAAATTAGTTGTGTTTTTGTTGGTTGTTTTTTAATTAGCAAAGTGTCATGTTAAAAATACAGAAGTATCCCACTTTCTATTAAAATCAAATGAATAACTAAAAGTGTCACCCTGTGTTCAATATGGGATGTGGGGAGAAGGAGCTGGGCATGGCAGGGCAACTCACTGGTTTGTCCAGGCCTCGCTCATACAGTACCTGCAGCTTTTGTGTGTATGCACAGTGACAATGGACTACACCACCAAAGACTTAAAAGAAGACTCTTACAGTGTTGAAGAGACAGGAACTCAGACTACAGTAAAAAAGACATAATTTTAAATTTCACACTTTCCACCCCCACCTTGTCACCAGAATTATTGTTAATTTCTGTACCTATGCAAAAAGGTGTTGTGTCACTGGCTGCCCAGCAAGAGCTTGTTCACTGACACAGGATGTAAAAGGGGATGTTGTGTGAGAGGGCACATGTGCACACACACACACAAAAAAACCCACAGAATTTTAATCTTACAGGTGCTAGTGCTCCTGTTCCTTGCTGCAGTTAGGCTACAGCAGTTCCCCTTTTGGGCAGCTCTTTGGCTGGTAACAATTAACTGCTCTGCTCCCACCTCAAGTTTACATTTCAGATGCTTGGTGAAAGGGCAACAGCTCTGAGCACTGTAAGCCACAACAGGTCCTGCACTGGCAGTCCTTGCAGCGCTACAGCCACACTTGCTACAGCTGCCCATGCAGCCACTCAGCTGAAGAGACAAGAAAGAAAGACAGACCAAATATTTTATTCAAAACTTTTAAAAAGTTAATAGACAAAAACTGATAAATTATTCTCATTGCATCAATGAGAGATACGTCATGATGGTTTCCTCTTGCCCCCCACATCTTACACTACACAACAGTTTGTTCCTTACCAGTCCCTGTTCCTTGAACTTACCCTGATGCAGCAGTGGTTCAGTATCAAGCCCTTAAAGCCTCTTCTCCATAGGTTATGTGCCCTGATTAAGCTTCATACAGCTCTGACAGGAGTAAGCTAATCAACATCCTTATTGATCAGAGAATCTGTCAAGTAAGTTAGTTGTTTGTCTGCTGTCCTACTTCTGTTTGCTGTCCTACAGTCTGTGCTCCCTCCCCAAAGCAGATAATGTGGTGAAACTTCACAAACCTCCAACTATTAACTGAGCCAAGTTTCTACATTGGTTCAGGTGCCTAGTAAGCTTCAGAATGCTGCTGAGCCCTCCCCTCCCAAAAGCCCAGCAGTGTCAGAGCTGTATGAAGGAGGCACTTGGAATATCCAGCTCAATGCCTGTCCCTTACACTTGCCCTAGACAAGCCATTCCGTGGCCACCTGCTCACTACTCTGGCAACAGCAGTTTTCTCCAGTGCTGCAAGGACCTGCAGAATCACTACCCTGAACCCAGCGGTGCTATCGCTCTACTCTCAAAGTAAGGTATCAACAAATACCAATCACTGGGAAAGAGCACTCAAAAATGTCAGTAACTGAAAGCACTTTTAGAAGATTGCTGCTTTTCTTTCCTCCCATCTTCCTGTTACAGTCTAATCCCTACAGCCTTCTCCAAACCATGTTTTGCTTAAAGGCTTTATAAGACTGAAAAACAGTCCTAAGAACATTTTAAAGGACATCCTGAGGATGATGGAACACTTAGTATAAGCAGCAGTTAGTTCTAGCACCACAGCTCTGAGGCAAATGTTTTTTACCCTCTTTCTTTTATGCTTGTAACCTCCAGGCACAGTTTACATGGGCGTTTTGGGGGCAGAGGGTAAGAATGACACAACATCAACATACACACTCAACAGCTTACAAAAACTGAAGCTTTGTCCTTTGGACAGCAGAATACCCTGTTTGTCACTTCTGCAGGAGCTGGAACAAGCTGGCTCACCTTTTGTTTTAGCTGCAGTGTGATACAAGGCTGTTCCCATACCAGTCGCTTTCCTGCACAAGAAAAATACCCACAGGAGCAAGCTTTGGTTAGAGAAATTCACAGCAGGGTGGGGGAAAAGTCAGTGCTGAGCAGACATTCAACCTGTATTCCACAGCTCAGCTTTGAGTTTTGGGGAGTACTTTAAGGACTGGACATGTTCAGGCTTACAAAGGTTTCTTCTTTTCTGGACTGAAAGGCAGAGATATGAATATGAAGGAGGAATGAGGCTAAAGGACATTTTAAGACAGCATCACACCCCAACATAATAAAAATCTAGTGGTACTGTAGCAGAATGTGCTAGTGCAAAGAGACTAGAGGCAACTCCTCAACAGCCTTCCATCCATTTGGCTCATTCAGGTGCGTGTGATTTTGTCTGGAGGCATGAAACCTGTGTCACCCAGTGTTCGAAGGGCCACTCTGCCGTTGGGACGTATCACCAAGTGAGTGATGCTGCCATTGTTGAGAGACAGTCGCAGCCAGCCTTCTGGGGGGAACTGCAGTGCTCTGGTGACAAAAACACATGTATTAATAATTCATGTACAGTTAGATTAACAAGCCCTCACAGCATCACCTTCTGTCCCAGATAAGGGGTGAAAAGAGGGGGAAAATCAAAACTGGTGGGCACTGTGCAGCTTGCATACCAGTGCCCCTAGTGAGCCTTGGAAAATGCCTTTTCTTGTGGAAGTGATATAAAACTGCAGCGTTGGTAACTGGACCAGGGCCAAGAGTGCACTTGGCTAAGCAGAGTCCAGCAGATGGGTGTGATTACTGCTGACAGGATTAGTTCAAGTGGACAGAAGGCAGCAGCTCAAATGCAGTGAGGCTGCAGGAGTGCTCTGAGCAGCTCCAGCAGTCAGGGCAGGGGCTGGCCCAGGCTCCTGTGCAGGTGGGACAGGGCAGGGCTGGCTCAGCACCCAGGGGCTGCCTCAGCAGAGGTGGAAAACAGGGACTGTCACAGCCCATTTCAGCCACGCCACTACTGTAGAGGCAGCGACACAGAATTCCCTCCAGTGGCCTGCAGGTGCCTAGGGAAGAAATTCCCCAGAACTACTTTCCATTGGCTACATCACTCCCCAGGAAGGAAAAGTACCTTGCACCTTCCACAGAAACACAGCACGACAGCTGGTCTGCAGTCATTCTGAATTTCCTAACTCAACAGCCTCAGGAGCTCCATCAACTGTATCAAACAGCTGAAAAAATACCATGTTGCCTCCAACAGCTTTTGCCTCTAATACTGAGGAATAACTTGTTTTTGGCTCTTGTGACAATCTTGTAGAAAGCCCAAGAAATTAAATACCAGCTACAGCCAAGCTAGATTTGAAGGAAATGTTACATGGATTGTGTTCAGTTGTGCTATCAGATTGCCTGGAATCAAAAGCACAGAAGAAACATTAAAATGAAGAGGAAAACAACAACAAAAAGTATGTACTTCAGAAAAAGCCTTGGCAGGAACAACATGGTATTTTTTTAGCACAGGAAGGAATATTCTGTTTACCTGATCAATAATTTCAAGTATAGCAATTTTGAAAAGCTCTAGAGCAGCCCACAGAGCAGACAGGCCAGCATTTACCTAGCTCAGCTAAATAAAGCTAGCTGAAACTGTTGTAGGTATTGATCAGATTAAAGTTTAATCACATCTGTCCTGCTCACGACAAATTATCTTACAGACAGTGCTCTGTTGATGGGAAAGAAGAATAAAACAGACTCAGCTGACTGGATACAGACACAGGCAAAGATCCAAAACTGTTTTCTCCTTTATGAACAACCTTGATGTTATTGGAAAGATCCACTCTCCCCTTAATCCAATACTGGATTTTACTGCAAAAACACACTAATGCAACTTGAACATAACTCAAAAGTATCCATTAGTATGGACAAATAAATAAAGAATTCCCAAAACTGAATCAATCTTTAATTATGTAAGCTCAAATTCATGTCACCTCAAAGAGATGCATCCAGTAATATATCTATTTATAATCTTTTCCAACAGGCACTACCTTCAGGTTTATGTAAGCAGAAGCATATAGCAATTAAAGTAACTGTCCAGATGTACGAAAAAGGTTAAGTTTCACTGACTTAGCCATTTCTGCTTTAGAATTAGAATGAAAGTATTCTAATTTTCAAATGTACCTTGATTAAGTTGCAGAAGCAGCTGCTTACAATGCAGGCACTGATCTCCAACCACTTCAAAGAAATGAAATCAACACATCTCCTCCCTCAGTGGTGCCAGAAGCCCCTCCTGTTTCAGTGAACCCTCCCTCCAGCAGCCCCAGGTGAGCAGGGCAGCCAGCCCATACCTGCACACGATGTAGCGGATGACGTTGGCGTGGCACACGAAGATCTCGTAGCTGTCCTCCTCCTGCTTGGCATCAGCTCTATGAATGAAGTTTCGAAAAGCAGCCTCAATTCGAGCTCCATCTTCATAATACTGCTGAAGGCACCGAGGTCACAGTTACACACAGCTCAGAGCAGCACGTGCCACTGAGGCCTCATGTCCTCAGGAGCTCTTGGTTACTGGGGTGCACACTTGGGGCTGAGCTAATGCTCAAGGACTGCAGATTATTTTAACTGTTCTGCACACTTACTGAGGAGGAGGAAAGAACGCAATTATCTAAGGGCTGTGATAATTAACATCAGATCAGACACTGCAAGTTATTGCTACTGTCCATACAGAATATACTGAAAAAAATCTCAAACCAAAAAAACACTTTAAAGAAAAACTTACCACAGCTTCTGGTTTCCAGTGGGAGACTGGAGGGTCTGGTTCTATAGGTGCTCCCTCTCTCAGCAAATCAGTACTGATTTTTTTGACTCCTGAAATATTAGATACACATTCAGAAAGGAGCTGTTCACATGCTATTGCAAACGGCCCCACAACTCTACAGTGAATATATTTTTCAGTCTTTGAGGAAGGCTGACTCTCCATCCTAAAAGTCCATTTTAGTCTACACACTTCTGTCAAGGGATGTGAATCTCTCCAAAGATTTGAAAACTGTTTTGCCATCAGCAAGCCAACTTATTCCAACTGAACAGAACAGCAAGCTGTTTTCCCTGTCTGTTACACTTTGAAAAAGTGTATTTGTACCTTTAAAGATAAACTGGAAACAAGCAGTATTACAACTGTAGGTTTCTTTATAAATACAGATATTCACGCAGGTCTGGGAAATTGCTAAATAATATCTCAACTTTAAGGAAAAGCTTAGAATTCTACAGGAAGCAGTTTAAAGGATCAAAAGACAATGAAAAATTAGGGAAGTCTCTTACCTGGGAGATGTTTGCTTATAATTTCAGTTGTTTCAGTTGCTCTAGTCATGGAGGAGTGGATAATCTGATCGAATTTTAATCCCAAACTTGCCAGCCTGTGTCCAGTCAGTTCAGCCTGCTCTCGACCTTAAAAAGCACATTCATTATATAAATTGGTGACACTCCCATTAGCACCTCACACAAACTACCAAGAGCAGGCAGACATAAAAGGTCTACATCGATGCCAGGCTTTTTCCTTCCAAAAACCAACTGGAAAATATTTTCATCAGAACCACTACTCAGGCCGAGCTTACTGGTTGGACAATTTCAAGTCATACTTCCTTAAGTAGGAAAAAAAATTGTTTCAATTAGAAAAAAACCCACAAAACCCAAAACTTACTCAGCAACTTCTGCTGAAGTACCCAATATCCCTGCTAGCCCTATCCCCAGGCATCAACAATCCCCCTCAGGCCTGACAGTGTGTGGTTGTTCATAAAGGCAACACCAGCTTGGCACAGTTTACAGCACCTGGGCAGCCTCAGGAAGGTTCATCCCACCTTTCAGGCAGGCAGGTGAAAAGACAACAGACAGGTTAAGTCACTTACTTAAGGCACAGGATGAGACAGGATTAACATTATTCTTTGTTACCAGATAGCACTTAAGGCCTGCAATTAGCATTTCACTCCTCTTTACACACCAGTAACTGAGATGTGGGTGGAAAAATGTCCACAGTAATAATTCTTCCCCCTCTGAAAAAAGTGTTGGCACATATATAATCAAGAAGTGTTCACTGCTTTTGAAGTACATTATTGAAAGTAATACTAATTAGCATTTGAGACCTTCTCACAGGATCAGTGAGTTATGATTAACACAGACAAAGGTTATCCTCATTTCATGTAAGTGATTAGCAGTACTCCCAGAAACAGTGACAGCAGCAAAAGTGCAATGTATTTAATTATAGACACTCCAGCTGAAAGTCAGAGGTGTTTTCTTTTTAATAAATTAGGAGATTAAATTAAGAGAAACACAAGAAAAATCCATCTCAATGGAGTGAAGTTAGAATTCCTGCCCTTATGAATAACAGCTGGCACAAAAACGTTTTTCAAGCAACCTTAAGATAATTTGGAATTTCCTTTGACAAGTTTCTTTACAACTGAACGTGTTTAGAACTCTCTAAATCACATATTAATGTTTGGATCAAAAGTAAAGAAAACAAACTTATTCATGACATCTTTCTGCCACAAAAGAATACAAAATGTAGATTAAGGCTTGGCAGCAAGACCCAGAATGGTGCTGAGTTACTGACCTGTATTCATCAGGTGAAAAATAACTTCCTCAAAATGCAAAGTATGATGCTGCAATGATACCTACCCAGGGGGGTCAGAGTTCTGTCTTTATCAGCCCGGCCATCCAAATTATACTGGGAATGACGGATAAGGAATATGTGCCTGGTGGCTTTTGCTTTGCAGTGATCTAAGCGAGAGGCAAGTTCTTCTTCCCCAGTTTCTTCATTTTTCTTTTTGAGGTTGATAAGAGCCAGTGGTTCACGCCTAAACAAACGCATTTCAAGAGTCATTTTTCAATAGGGGAATTTTACAGATACATAGTCTTGCCTTAATTCCAGTCAAAGCTGAAGAACTACACCTGACAATTTATGATACAATTACTTGTATCATGAAACTGATTCAAACCTTTGTGTGAAAAATAAAAAGAAATGCCTGCATGGAAAAAAGTTAACGTCATGGGTTAAAAGGTGTAACTTGACATAGGTAAATTTCCCACTTAGTGCCAGCCACCTGAATTAATTATTGGGAAATAAGAACAATGAGCAACTAAAAAACTTGTAGGGTTTTTGACAAGAAAAACTAACCAGGAAGGATACCCAGGAAAAGAGAGAAAGGTGCTGAGTAACCATTAAAGAAAGAAAATGTTCCATATCTAAAAGGCCCTGTGATAACACCTACAAAATTTGCACTTTATCAATCACATTTACATCAAATGACTAAAAAAATCATCCCCCCAGCAACATCCTAGAAAGACTCCAGCCTTCTGCAGTGCACATTGAGAATTATTCTCTGCTTTAAACTAGGTCATATCAGGTCTCTTCAGTAAAACTTTTTCAGCCTGGAGTGTTTTATTTATCCGTTCATTTTTTTCAGCACTCTCTCCTCTCATACCACTTTAATCTCTCTTCCACTTGTCACAAGCTCCCTGCTCTGCACATCACCCAGACAGCTGACCCGGTTCCTCCTGAGGACACCGGGATCTTCCCCTCTCTCTGCTCTCACAGGTTCAGTGCTACAGATCTCCCACCATCAGCACTAACCCTGCCCATGTTAGTCTGGGCCTCTCTCTGTACTGATCCCCCACCCCATTAATACAAACCCTTTGCTATGTCATTCCAACTCAGAGCATATTTTATTCATACCACACCTCACTTCTTCCACTATTAAACTTGTTTATTTGATGATAGTTTTTCCAATGAAAAATAATTTTATTCAGTTTGGGGCAAAGTAATTTGTTCACAGAAAATTGCTGCTTTCCACACCTATTTTGCACAGCAAGACTAGATGTGCAAAGCTCTCCTGCCTCAATTTCGCTTTACTGAACACGTGATTTCCATTAGACAATGAGGCTCTACACATTCCTCAAGCTGTTAAAGTTCAGAGAGACATTAAAAATGAAACAATAGTCAAGTAACAAGAAGTTCTATTGCTACTTCACAGGATACTGGATACTTTGGATTCACTGGAAACTGTACTGCTGGCAAGATACAATAGGAAAACAAAAAAAGTCTCTAAAATAAATTCAAGCACATTTGTAAAGCAGCAAGGGGAATAGCTCATCTGATATTTGCTTATAAGTATCCCACATGAATTAAACTAGACCCATCTTCTCCAAGAACTGAGCTGCACAACTCCTGTGCAAGTGGCAGAGACCAACATTCCAAGTGTGATACCCTATCAGACCAATAACAAGTTTATTATTTGCATTTGTTTGTTTCAAACTTGAAAAGCCACTGGTTGTTAAGAATATTGTAGTATTTCGTTATCTGCTCAAGACTTGACTTTCTAAACATTCCCTGCCCCCACAGAGCAATAGTCAGACATTCTGTGTATTTATAAGCCATTTAACAACTTAGCACATTAAGTGCTTCTGCTGACAACATTCAAAAGTCAAGACTAAGATTTCAAGCAGGCACAGCCTAAGCCACAGAACACTGACTGGCAAACTACAAGCAGCAGTAAGCAAACTGATCTGGGGTAATATATTCCACTGCCACTGTTTGCACACTGAGGATTTGCTACCCTGAACTGCTAGGAAGCATTAGCGGGCCATGTTTGTTCAGGCAATGGTGACAGCTCTGTAACTTATAGCACAATCTCTACCTCCTGGATTGGTTTAAAAAAAAATTAAATTACTTCAGCCTGAAAGTACTTTAGAATCCTTGAAGAAAATCAACCATTTAGCAGAACCAGGAAGGCCTGGAGCTGCACTTAAACAAGCAATGTTAGTACCTCCTTCAGTATAATTGTGTAACCAGCTGTAACCTTAGTTAATGAAGGCATTATTTTCATCACCGTGGTGTACATATCCCCATTTACATGAGCATTTGATCCTGTAGCCTCTCAAAAATCAAAACGATGCATTATACAATAAAAATCTGTTAGTGCTTATGTTTGGATTTACTGTGATTAAACTGGAGCCTGACATAAGTCCCCTCTGGGAGATAATTCTACCAGACCGAAGCTAAATGAGCCAAAGCTCCATGCAGATATTTGCACGTTCTAATTACACATTCAGAAAAAAAGGCAGTCAACCCTTGAGTCAATGTGTTTCAAAGTAGAAGAACAGGACTGAGTTGGGTTCAAAGCGCCGCTGCCTTTTCAAGGATTTCTCCACGAGCAGCAGGCCCTGCCCAGCACGTGAGAGCGCTTGGCGCCCACACGGGAGCTGAGCCGAGCTGAAAAACCCCGGTGCAGACATACAGCAGCATCGAGACATGGCTAAAAAAAATAATAATAAAAAATTTAAAAATGGCACGCTTCTGCCTAGTGCTTACATGCATCACAAGCCTGAGGCTTGGCAGTCTCGCTGGTTGAAAGCATCAGAATAAAGGGATCTGCACAGGGTAAATCTCAGAGCTGTCTGAACAAAACCCAGCGCCAGCGCATCCCTCCGGAGCACTCGGGCGCTCCAGCGCTCCACGGGTATTCACCAACTTCAGCTGGATTCTGCTCTGAGCAGGTCACCACATGGAATTTCACCGGGAAACCAGTGTCCCCCGCCGGGGGCTGTTCCCGCCGGGACCCGGGGCCTCCCGACCCCCGAGGGGCCCTGCCCCGCTCCGAGCGCGCTCCCCCGCGGGCTCCGGAGAGGAATTCAAGGCAGCTGTGGCCGCCCCTCGGATCTTCCCCGACCCCTCACCACAGCCGCGACCACCCCGGACGAGGAAGCGGCCCTGTCATCGCAGCCCACCTGTCCCAGTTGCTGTCCCAGTAGCTGCTGGAGCCGGTGGGTCTCTCGATCCAGCCGGCGGTCGGCGGGNCACCGGCGAGCCCGCCCCGCGCCGCCCGCCCCGCCCCGGACGGAGCGCGATGAGGGGCAAGATTCCTCCGCGAACGGGGAGCACGGGGCTGCACCGACACTCCCGACCCTCACGGGCCCGGCCCGGCCCCCGCTCCGCTCCCCCAGCCGCGGTGCCCGCCGAGCTACGCCCGCCTCAGGCCGGGTCACCGAGTAGAGCTGAGCCGGGGACCCTCGCCAGTCCTGCCTGGTTTAACCGGCTGATGCGGTGACCCGTCCTTCAGAGGTGAAAAGACCTGTAGGTCGAATCCACGGCGTCACTGCCAAGTTCGTCATATTTAATTATAAGCCCTGAGCCTTATCGCTGTGTCCAGCTGCTCCTCAGTACCAGACCGGGAGTTACTGCAGAGGGTCCGGCAGAGGCTGCAAAGATGATGAGGGGGCTGGAGCATCTCTTATGAGGGCAGACTGTGGGAGCTGGGCCTGTTTAGTCTGAAGAGAAGACTCTTTGTCATTGGTGCCCAGTGATGGGATAAGGGCCACTGGTCTTAAACTGAAACACAGGGAATTTCGCCTCAACAGGAGGAAGAACTTGTTTAAATTTAGGGCAGCAGAGCACTGGAACAGCTGCCCAGGGAGGTCATGGGGTCTCCACCTGTGAAGACATTCCAAACCCACCTGGATGCATTCCTGTTCTCGGTGACCCTGCATTGTATGGGGGGTTGGACTGGATGATTTCCAGAGGTCCCTTCCAACCCCAACGATTCTGTCCTACAGGAATTGATCTCTCGCAGGCAGCACTGGGTCCCTAGCACTGGTAACCAGGAACCTGCATTTTGGGAAATAAAAATGATTATCAGCCAGGTGGACTCAGCAGAGCCGAGCATTTCTGTCCCATCTCTTGTGCCTCTGGCCTGAACGCTGCTCCCCTCTTCACACGGAGACTCCCTTCAAAAGCCAGAGCTCATTACAGCTCCACACATAGCCTTGGGCAGAAGAAGGACACATGGAACTGGAATGTTAATTACCTCACACTGCAATGTTAATTACCTGTAGATGGCCAATGGTGCTGTCTTAACCTCACAAAAGAGGCCTCTTTTTCTGAGCTGACATCCCAAATTCAGCACTGGTTTCTACCTGTCAGATTCAGGAGTCTGCAAATGGTGACAGAACTGCTGCTGAATGTGGACCTTGGGATGCCAGCAGATTCTACAGATTCCATGATCCAGCCTTTGCTTGTTTAATTATGCATTCTTATCACTCCTGTCCACCTGTTCAAGATCCAACTTTATACCCACTTTTCCCACACCACAAATTCTCTAATACTATTCCTGTTATTCCACTAACATGCCAGCTGGGCAGACAGTTTCCAACTGCCAGATTTCAACCAGTGTGAGCGACTCCAGAAGCACTGTGACCAGAGCCTGTCCCCTACCGAGCACACAGAGATGTGTCCCCCTGAGCCCTGGAGCCTCCTGCGGTGCTGACAGCAGGCTTACAAGTGCCTGCCCAAAAGGAAATGGTCTTTCTGTTCAAGTTAAGCCACCTTCCAGCTTTCTCAGCAGTGTCTTTCCCCTGTCCACCACTCCGTGTCTCTGTCTCACACACATGTGGTGCAGAGGAGGCACATCTGACTGGAGCACAGGTCTTCTGGCTCTGGGGCATTTCACAGACCAACAGTGGTTCCCAGGGGTCACATAAGTAAATCAGACCCTGATGAAAATCTGCTACACGCCCTCCTTTATCCTTCTTGCCTGCTCATTCTCTGTATTTAAGATACTCAGCCTTCTGTTTCTTCTTATATAGCTTTAAAATGGTAATTTTATTATTTTTCTTCAGTTTATCTTATTATATAGGTAGGTATGTGCATTTACACTGCGTATGTTCTTTCTTACCAAGAGCCCAGAAGAAAAAGGTTTGGTTTCAAAACCTCATATCCAATTCATCCTGAAGTACCACAGTCCCTTTTCCCCAGGTCTCAGTCTCCCAAAGTCCTGCAAATGCTTTTCTAAATATTTTCTCTCATAATGCCTTTTCTCTTTTATACTTAATAATACTTATTCTCCATTAAATGCTCCTGCTTGTGTCCTACCTTTTCCCTATCCTCCCAGCCTCCTGCCCTCTAACCTGAATCCCATTTAACCTCCAGCATCTCACAAAAGAAGGAAAAAATTGCCCCAGATACCATTGCTCACTTGGGGACAGGGACAGGCTGAAGCTGGATTGGAAAAATGAAACAATTCCTGATAAATCTCTCAGTAGCTTGAGCTGAATCCTAAAATCATATGGTTCTGCTGGAAATTTCAGTGCTATTCAAGGTGCATTGCTTGCACAAGTAACTTCCATTTGAGGTCAAAATCCCAGTAATAAACACAGGCAAGTTTCTGGAGTGCATGACAGTGTCACCAAATGCACCAGGGCAGAGCTCTGCTCACCACTAGAAAAGTTTCAGACTGTTGTTAAGCAATAGTCAATATTGTTTGCCTCAGTGCTGCATTTTGGCTGTCATTCTTCTACACTAACACTTCAGGAATATCCTGCCTGTGCTCCATTCTGCAGTTTATTTTTGCTTGCGTTAAGTACTAAGACAATTTATGTTCAAAAGTCTTTTGAGATTACCTTAGATTTTCCTCAGTATGTCCAAAAATGTTATTTTTTAATTAGATTATATTTACCACTTTTTAAAAATTGCAATTCAATTAGGTAAAAAAAAAATCTCCAAAAATAATTTGTTGAAGGTTACCACTAGCTTGAATATACAGTCCTGTGTTCCATCAATAACTACCCAGCTTCTTGCTCTTTGTTCTTTTTATATGTATTTATATTGCTGCTATTGTAATCCGGTTTTATTGTGTTGTATTTCATCTGTAAGAAGAAAATCCATCTAAGAGGATAATAACCTACTGATACCCACTAATGGAATTATTCTGTTAGCAAAAACAGTAAATGCTTGTGCTACTGATGCCACAGGTCCAATCCTTGGGGATGATTCCCAGGGGCTTATCCCATTTCTGTGGTTTGATGCAGAGACACCTTCAAGGAGGATGCCCAAGGTTAGGGCAGCCTCTGGACTGTGCTGTGACCAGAACAAAGAAAAGAGAAGTCAGAAAGCCAGCAAAAGGTTGGCAGAAAAGGTCAGCATAGGTGGGGCCCAACAAACAGTTTCCCCTGGCAGGCAGAAAAAGTCTGTGGCAAAAGCAGGCCCACAGCAGCCCTCGGGGTTAACTTCACCAGGAATACAAACAATTCATCTCTGGATGGGACTTGGATCAGCAGAGGGATGAGTCAGTGTTTGGATGTTTTACTGTTAGCTACAGGGAGAGCAAGGGCAGGTCTCTAGCTTACAACTGGCAAGCAAAGTTTATGAACTTTCAGGCTTTTTTCTTTTTTTTTAGACAAAACAGAGTAATAAAAGGACATTTGAAACAAGGAAAATGTGGTTTTGAACAGCCTCTTCCACAACCTCAAAATGTTTTACTCACCATGTATCACCTTCCCAATGTGAAAAAAAAAAAAAAAAGTATATTTATTCTCAAAAGAGCAACAGAGAGAGAGAAAAAAAGTTAACATTATGTCATTTGAACCACATGTATTCAGACATACACTGTGGACTTGCTGCTGGCCTTCTTAAAGGAAATATTGATGTCATCCTGGCCTGCTTCAGACTCTGCAACATTTAAATGATACACTAAACTTTTGGGTTATAAAATGATGCTACTTAAGCCCACTTAATAATTTTTCTTTCTTTTATGGAGCAAGAGAGAATACTGGTTTTAAGCAACTGGTTAGTATGAGTTGATCAATTGAAAAAAAAGAAAAAAAAAAGATTTTGAAGCAGATACTGGCTTCCTGACTGTGTCTGACTGCATCACTGAAGGGTAACCAGGATAAATACCGTGTTGGTTAAATACAGCACAAACTTTTGGGAGATTGTGGCATGAAAGAAACTCTACATATATATATTATAGCAGCGATTCAGATCTTGAATTTAATTTAGGTGGTGTGAATCACCTACCAGGGGATTCTTCAGATTGCCTTTGACCAGAAAAAAAAAAGAGAAACTCATTTAAGATTAAAGACTGGTCCGCTTCCCCAGGCACACTCTCTATAAGCATATTTAAAAGCAGGCTTTGCCTTATCTAAAGCATAAAAAGTCTTTATATCATGAATGATCACTCTGTTTCTTAAATTTGCTCTCACAGTAACCATCTTTCTAATTGAAGTAGATTGAAAGAGCTTCTTTTAGTAACAGTGGGCATCACTGGTAAACTGAAGTATCTCAAATACCCCTATAAGGAACTGCTCTTGTTTCCTAGAACTGAATCACTTTCCCTACTCATTTACTAAGGACTGAGTGAGCCTCTTTAGTACACTGGGACTGAGAATTAAAAAAAAAGAAAAAGTCTCCTTGCAAAGTCTTGTCCTTCTTAAACTGTCTCCAAATGGTGGAATGGTTGAGACTGCAATGACAGGACAGTTCCAGGACCAAGGCCTGTCTTCTGTCTATTGGCATGTGAAGCTTTGTCTCTGACTACAGAGGACAAGAATGAAAGTGTAGAAAATTCTCTCAGATGTGGGGGTATATTACCTGCCAAATCTTTGTGTGCTCTAGAATCACATGGGGTGTGCCTTGAATGCTACAGGGCATTGGAGATGGCTGGAAATGGCTGTCATCCCATCATGTGCAGAGATTGTGTTTCCAGCCTTAGGTGTCTCATGGTTTGTTACTGACAAGTCCTTCTCAGTACCTTTGCTTTCAGCCATCTAAAGCCAGAAGTTTTCACTCTACCAAACACATTCAGAGCTGCAGGTCAAGACACACCAGAAATGTAATTGTGAAAGATCTATAAAAAAGTAATTTCTGAACTGGAAAACCAGTTTTATTAACAGTCTCTGGCCCTTTCATTAAGTAAACACTTCAGTTCTGTCCCTGAAGTCACACTCATGAAACTAAGGGTTTATAACAGCCATACTAACACTGCATTATCTAATGTAATGCTCTAATAAATGATGATGTACCCTGCCAGAAGGGTTTAATTTGAAACAGATGGTCTAAAGAATGGAAACATAAGCAAAGTATTCCAGTGCAATCATTTTCCAGGAAACAAAAGGGGATTTGATATTATTGCCTTAAGGACCACCTGCTCCCCCAACGTTTTTGTCTTAGATAACAGTAAACTTTGATTTTGCTAATGAAGCACAGGTGCTGCTGATAGTTCCCAACAATGAAACAATTCAGGCATTTCTCCTAATCCTGATTAGCAAGTGAGAATTTCTTTTTGCAATAGCACATGCTGCTTTTGCAAAGTTTGACTGATGTCCCTTTGCACCATTTTCCTTTATTTTTCTGTTTTAGAAGGAAAAATAAATAGTTGTTATGGTCTTGACAGTGTTGGCTTCTATTGCATTTGACAGTAACTGTCACTATCAAGCATTTAATATTTAGTCACTGCAGTCTGCAAACCCAGCACTGATTTAAGGTGCCCTTGCAAACCATTTAAAAACCTGCTCTGCAAAATTCCCTTAGCAGGAAAGAGAGTGCTCTGCCTGCAGAACCATCTGAGACACCGTGACGTACATAATTACACACTTTAAGAGATTTCTAGTTCTAAGGATCCTTTTAATGCTTTACAAGAAATACAAAGGCAAAATTCTAGCTCCCTCAAATATCCTTTCCTGTCTCTCTGCCAGGAGCTGTTTTAGATATTCCCTGCTTTACTTCAAAAAAATCACCCTAGGGATGAGCTTGGCACAGGCTGTCTAAACCCTGCTGATTCTTTTTTTGGCAACAGCATTTAAATGCAGTGTTTTCACATACAGGCTGCACTGAGGATGTATAGGCAAAACCCTGGGATTAAATAGTTTTGGGGGAAGAGATGCTAACTCCAGGTCTGGAGAGCCTGGGAGATACTCAGCCACACAGGTGACATTCTCAGCTGGCAACAGGGCAGAAATATCAGCTGTGGCAGCAATTTAGCCAGACCAGCTCTCCCAACGCCACCCCCTTCAGAAGAGACCAAGGCCCAGACCAAGCCAGGCACTTGCTTACACTGCACCTACCTTTAAATACATGAATAATCATTCTGAAGGCACTGGACCTTGTCAGTATTGTGCCTGTGTTTAAAAACCCCCACACTGTGCATAGAAATAATGACCTTTGGAAAGATTCCATTTTTGTGTTTCAAGCTTCCCTCTGCAATGCTGAGGACTATTTCTTCCCCTCTTCTCTAATGAAAAACTCAGAAACCCCCAAAGTAACCATTTACTTGAGACTTCAGGAGCTTCAGGCCGTAAAAATCCCGAGCATTGTGAGACCAGTCCAAATAGCTTGGCAGTAAGAAAAGTTAATGGGATATTCAACTCTTTCAACACAGATGTGTGCTCAAGTGTCTCCTACACGTTAGTCACACTATCTAGTAAGCTTGGTACAAAGCCAGGAGCTAAGAAATCTGTAATATTAATTGCTATTCTCCTGACTCACCATGTGACCACTCTTCTGTAGTAACTGTCTGGGAGCATTGTCCTGGCTGCTGTGCAGAGTCTGTGTGAGCACGGGTGCCCTCCAGACCCTGCAGGGAGGAATTTCACACTGTGCTCAATGGATTTATACCTCTAGCAAGAATACCAGTGGAAAGGTGAATTTGTCCCAGTGACAGTATCTCTTGAAGAAAAAAAGGGGTGTAACATACATCTACATGACTGCTGGAACACAGAAATAGCCTTGCCTCTGCTGACAGGTGATGAGCAGAGCACCAGAACGCACACTGTTCTCTCCTGACAGTGTGGTTGTGAGCACTGCTTCCATTTAAGAGGAGTTAATGCAGTCTCTATGTCAGATCAGGGTTTGTTTTTGCCTGGACACAAAATGCAAAGTCCAGGTCTGAGGAAAAAAAATTAATCTCAGTTATGGCAGTCAGCACCTGGATCCTGTGGAAGTATTCCAAACTTCCATTAGTCTGAGACCTCTCCTAAGCATAGTACACAAACTCCCAGTCTGAATCTCATTGCTGGGAGCAGCACATAATGGTGTTATTTCACCTGAGAGGGTTGGGTTTTTTTCATTTTTTCTCTCAACAATTAGAAAATCATGGAGAGCATCTTCTTATATTATACTACTCATTACTACATATGCCGTCTTTCTGTCTCATCCTCAACACTAATAAGCACAGGACCTAATTATCCCCATTTAAAAATAACTTTCCTCATTCTATCTCTGTCCAACAACATTTTGGCAGGCATCCTCAGTAGAAGATTTGAAATTATGTCCCTGCCAAAAACTATTGCTGCTGATGAATCACAGCACACACAATTGAAAGGCTGTGGTTGGTTTTATAAATATCTGGGCACATACATATATGTGTATATTTATGTGTGTGTGTGTAACAACTTGGAAATTCCTAAAGGTATAGATCAGGCAAAATGGCATTGTGGTCCTTTCTCTCTTTCAAATTATGTTGCTGAATTTCTGCTAATGTATTCATGCATTTCCTAGGGAAATGTTAAGGACCCTCAGGTGAAAATCAGCCTGATGCATTGAGCCAGTCTGAGCACCACATTAGTGTAAGTTATTCAAGTCACTAGTTGTAGGATTCAAGTGATGAATTTATCCTTAAGCCTAGGATTAGGCAGTCATGGAGCATCCAAGGAACTCAGCTTCAAAAATCAAGTAATGTCAACCCAGGCTAAGGAGAGCATTGCTTTCCCAACCCAGGCAGGGGATTGCTAATAATAGTAGTAGAGTGTATGTATATTTTTATACATATAGAACTGAACCAAAAGCAGAGAGCACACCCCAAGTCTCTTATGCCCAAAGAGGACTTTTTCCATCATTTGTGTCACAGTGCTGAAATGCAGTCCTGCAGCATCCAGAGCTTCAGAGATACATAAAAAGAAACTGTATAAATATCCCTAGAACTTGGGTACATATAACAAAAAATATTTTTCTCACAAATAAATGAAAATAGCCATAGAGAACAATATTAAAAATTCTGTTAAAATGAGGGAGAAATACACTAAATTTCTATAATATCCATTCTTACGAAGTTTTTTACATGTTTAAAAAAACACAGCTACTTTGTTCTTCAATATAAGCAAAGTTTACACTTAAATAAACTCATGTGACTTCTGTTTACACATGGACACGCCTATTTTTTTCCTATTCCTTAAATCAGGATGTGCTTTCCTGTGTTAAAATCCTAGGAATTAAAAATTTCCATCTTCCTCCTGCTCCTTGAGAGAAAGACCATACTAGAAAAGGAATAATTTTGTGCACTAATAGACATATACCTTTTTTGACAAGCTTTATGTGCTGTTAATATGGCAAAGCAGATAAATGGATACTTACTTCTGTACAACACTCAAACAGACACAAAAAAAGACAGGAATTAATAACATTTTTCACATGGCAACACAGCAGCTCAGTCCTTGCTCTCAAGAGATGTGAAAGGCTGGGTTTCCTCAGCTGCCCACGACATGTCAATGGCTGTGAAACTCAGCTCTTGATGTGTTCTGTGCCTCACCAGCACATCACAGTGTCCCTCCTTTTTGAGGTCACTCCCAAGCTACAGCCATTTCTTTTATTGTGTTTCTGCTCAGTCATTTTAGTTATTATTATATACATGTACAACTGCTCCAAGAAGCAGGCAGGGAAGAGCAGAAGTGCTTAAGGCAATGAAGCATATGGTCTCTTGGAATGAGGATTGTGCTGTGTGGGTAATGTGCAGAGGCTTTAGATTACAGGGAAATGTGCAGGGGGTCAGTGGAAGGATCAAGGAAAAAAATTCTTTTATCTATTTACTAAAACAGCCTTCCAAATTCAATGTGAAATACCAAGATTATTGTCAACAACACACATCACGAACACCCAAAATCTTCCTCCCAGTACATGTACCTAAATGATGCTTTCATCTGAAGCTAAATGTGTCCCAAATATGCCCTACTGCTCCAGGATACCTGTGGGAGGCATCTGCTTGACTCCAGCTACAGAGCTGATTGCTGAACAGTAGGGCTTGAGCTTCTCACAAACACAACACATTTGTGAGTCAGGAAGTCACATCCCCATCCTACATGGAGCAAAGAGACACAGAAAGACAAATGAGGCAGCAGGAATCTGCAGTGGCGTCAGGAACTGGTGCCAGAATGCCTGAAGCACATTCCTGAGCCTCAAGTGCAGCCCATGTTTGGAGGAGAACATCTGGCTGGTACCTCTGTCACCGTGAGTCACAGCTCGATGCTGAGAAGCTCCCAACAACAGCAGTGCAAAGCACGTGAATTCTGATGGCAGAGATTGTCAACAATTGAGCAATTTGCCTCCACTGTGTCACAAAGTGCCCAAAAAATTAGTCATAACCAAGTACCACTTATTTATAACTACTTACTTCTCAGTTTTTAAGTCTGTTGTTTTATGTATCTGTCAATGAGACAATAAGGGCTGATCCCAAGGCCAGATGGATCGATAATACACAGGCTGCAAAAAATGGATTATGCTGTTACTCACTGAATTTACTCAGACACTGCAGTTTCTACAAGATGAGTTTTTCCTAAGAAAAAGTAGCATTGCTTGTATTTAAAAAAACCTCAACAATCCTTTCACCATCTGTTACAATGACTATACAAGAGAAAAAGCTGACAGCAAAGCTGTATTCTGCTAAACCACCTGTGCCTGTGACTAGAACCAAAATATAATGCAATTTTATGAGCTTCTACAGTCAGCTCTGACCTAAAGATCCCCATGTATCTCTGCTCCTATGTAACTGAAAGAGGCTTTCAAGTTATATGAGAGTACAACTGGCACATCAGGAGCCATCCAACTCATATCCATGGGAACAGTGAATGCAGGAGGAAACCACTGCCCAGGAGCCACTCCCCTGCATACTGCATGAAAGGACAAGCCAGAAGGCAGAAGAGCCCACACTGCTGCCCCACTACTAATCCCAAATTCCTCCTTGCTGCCTGCCACTCAAAAATGCCTCCATGAAGACTATCTCTGCTCTGTGGAATAGGGACAGAAGTTCCATCAAAAATAGACTTGACCCCAGAATGGGACACATTTATAAAATTCCACATTTCCCTTTGTTAGAGGCTTGAAGAAATCCTAATGTCAATGAACTACAGCAGAGAGCAAATTCCTGTGGGTGGCACTCTCAGTGGCATGTCAAGTACAATGAGGCACCATTAATGTTAAAGGAAAAATTACCACTGTTTTCAGTAAAAGTAAGATTTTAGTTTGATTTACACATGGCACTCATGAGCTCTGTATGTTATTGTTGTTCTCAAAACAGGAATTCTCATTTTAGGTGTGCATTTGGGGTATCAAATCTTGTGATTTTTGGTGCTGAAAGCCCTACATTGAGTCCTCATGGCTGATTGTGTGTAATGGTAAGATTTATTGAAGCCAAACTCACGAGAATGCTTTAGTTCCAAAACAACACTGCTAACTAAAGGACACTTCACTTGTATGGAAGGTGACTTGTCCCTCAAAGAGTTCCAGGCATTGCCATTTCTCTGGCTAACCACACATATCCTTTCCCTTATTTCTTTCAGTCTTTATTATTTCACTGAGCTCAGTGGGAGGGTTTCACACACACAGACAATGCTCAAAATAAATCCTTGAAAATCCTGCTCTTACCCCACATTGAAGAAATAGATGGATAGTCCAAGTCCCATGTGGAGGCTGGAAGTCAAAAGGTGTGAAATAAACCTCAGAAGACAGCACATGGCCTTAATGGCTTTTACATGGCAGATACTTCACACAGTCTGCTGAAAGAAAGGCTTCTGAATTACTAATGTTTGTAAAACAATTTTATTTCAGAAGGGGGTATTTTTTAAAATAAAATACTTACCTGTGGTACTCCTTTTTTTCTACAATGCAACTAAACACCTAGAAAACCTCCTGGTCTGGCAGAACCTGCTGCCTCAGCCACGTTGTGCACTTCTGCCATGTAGTCTGATCAAACTGGCCCATGCCCACAAAGGCAGAAATTACTTTGATTAATGAGGAGCAGATTGACAGAATATCTTAACACAGTTTAGAAATGTTATTAAACATTTCCCACAGTGCTCACTGTCCATCCCAGGCCAGAGGTATTCTACATATAACATCACATGGACAGGCTATGCCAGTGCTTTATATTCCTTGCAAATAAATGGCAAAATTACTGTCTGAAAAATCCACACAAAGGATGGACGTGTACAAGGTGAACAGGATGGCAACACAACATAACTTCTAAGGCAAGTTGCTCTTACATATTCTCCACTTCCTCCAAGCTTCCAGCACTGCCTTCCCTTCTCTCTGAGTATCCCTTAAAATGGTGGGTCTGTCTACCAGTCTTCCAAGGCCTGCAACACAACCACTGGCAAAAACACTGTTTACAGTCTACTTTATTTGCTTACATTTTTTAAAAGTAATTTCAGTTTTGTATTTTGTTGCTGATACAACCATTTTTTTCTATCAAGACAGATCAGTTACATTTAAAATGCATCAGAGAGGGACACCTGTAACTAGTTTTACTTGACTCTATGTACACAGTTACATATACATTATATACATAGAGGCATTATATATATATCTATATCTAGATCTAGATCTAGATCTATATATCTATATATATAAATATATACACATATATATAAGGCACTGTAAAATGTACCATAATTCTCCAGCACTATTTTAATCTGTAAAAGTAGATCATATTTCTTCATATAATTTGAAATGTTTAACTAAAACATTTTTAAAATGTTTCAGGGTTAGAGATACCAACTGTGAAATAAGCCTTACTTTAAATTTCAAGTGACTGTGACAAGGTGAGCAGAACCAATTTTGACAGTAATTCTAATCTATTTATTGTAAAACTGATTCTCTCTTAAAAGGCATATTCACCTGTATAAATAGTTTCATGTGTCTCTCCTTATTGTGTTCCAAAATATGAACCTAAACTTGTCCTGCAGAACGAAAAATAACAACAATGAAAAAATGAAACACAAAATTGGGTAATTTACCCATTACTTAGAGAGAGGAAAACTGAGATTGCTGTAAGCCAAGATATCTTTAAATAAAATGTATTGAAACAGATCATGGCCAAATATAATCCTGCTTGATGTAGCCAACATCAGTGGAGCTTGGTGATTAACAGTTTGGGCCATTTTATATAAAAGGTAATCTCTGCCATGTGAAGACACAACAGCACACAAATATGACTGGCATTTATAATGAACATGCTTGAATGGATCCTTGCTTAATGCAATTAGCCTATATATGCAAATTACGGCATCAGAAATCCTGCAGCAGCTGCAGGGCTTGGCAGCTGTGTGTGTTGTAAGACAGTCTGACAGATCAAATGGACATATTTCCAAAGACTAGAAACAGATAGACAGATGAAGATAGATTAAGTATTGCACATGTTTGGGATTTATAAACCCAGATGACCTGGACAGAAAGTATTCAACAAATAGCAATATAAAAATTTTTCCAGTTAATCTGTGGCAGTGATTCAAAACTCTGTTGAACCACAGGATCCCTATTAACCACTCAACTTAAACAAACAGTACAGAAAACTTCATTTAGTGTTGCTTCATGGACCACCTGCTGTGGCCTCCCAAACATGATTCTTTGGTCACAAATGGGAGACACTCTTAAAGACTCACCATATTTCCTACTCTACCATAGGCATCTTGAACAGGAGATTTAACCTGCAGTCACTTCTTTTAATATTTTATCGGTTTCATCCTTTGCACTGGAACTGGCCTTTCCAGTTCTGCTCTTCCAGTTCAGGTTTTGCACAAGTGGAAGTGAGGAAGGGCAGCGCACTGTGAACCATCTCAGCAAACGAATGCATCTGAGGCAGAAACAGACACTTGAAAATACTGAAGTGACTCAAAGGTTTAAAAAATATATATGTATTACGAGAGCCACAAAAAAGGTTACAGACAGAGCTCCACAAAGCCTGCACGGATACATTCCAACAATTCAAGGTGGCAGAACAGGTGAAATACAGACCATAAAAACGGTTTGACATTAACTTTCCAGACTGTCAGAGACAGAAAAGCTTGACCCCATCTTTCCCACACACACAAAAAAATATTGACTATATATATATATCTCTCTATATATCTCTAGCCTGGACCACAGTTATAGTCCAAAGAAAACCACATTGCAATTTCCATATTAGGCTTGTAGGAGAGTAGGCATCATCTGAGGAACGTCGACTGTAAGGCCCGGGAGGGATCCTCGCAGGCCGAGTTGACACAACATCACGCTTGGTTAGAATTAGAACAGCAACACCCCACAGCTCATGTGCTGCACATGGCTACCAACACAGAGCTCTGTGCAACCCCCCCAAGCTGGCTGAACCAAACTGAGTAAATACATTTGTTTTGCTTAATTAAAAGAAAAAAAAAAAAGCAGATGTAAGATATTAGGGGAGTTCCTGCTATCATCTTCCTTAAAAATTCAAGACTTGAAGACTTCTTTAATGTACTTGCTTACAGACATGTTTTGAGACTGCATTAACGATCTTCAGGAAAATATGCCACCCTGAGGCTTTTTCCCTTGTTCACTTCAGGTTATGTCTGCATCCAGTTTAATGGGGCCAAATGCTGGTTGTCTGTCAGTGCAGTATTTGGCCCGGAGTTTCAAAGTCTTTGCTATTCAGACTTTCCTATGAGGTCAACAAACAAAGTAGTAAAAAAAGAAAATATTAAGGCTTCAAGTAAAAATATTTTCTCTCTCTCCCACCCATGTAGTAAGGTACATTTAATTCCATAATACTCAATATATTATACAATTAAAGATATAGAGATCCAACTTTTCAAGGCAGAGAAGTACTACAATGAAAACCTGGAGGCTAAATGGGAGCATATGAACAGGGAACAAACTGATAATAAAATGCAATATGCAATGAAAACTGATGCGTAAACTAAAAAAACCCTATTGCTCTTTTTTAAATAAGTAATACAATCCACAGCTACAAATAAAAAACATGTTGAAAATATTTAAGACTTTTGAAACATGAAATAAGCGCGACAAAAATAAAGAAGCTACTTTACAGGATGTGTTAACTCATGCTGGATTTTCATGGCTGATCCCCACCTAGTATAAATTAGCATCAATTAAATGAGCTTTCATGGAGCCACACCAATTTATACCAGCTGAAGATTTGGCCTGCAGTGTCTGTAAAAACAGGATATCTGGGAAGAAGAACCTTACGCCTGATCTGTAAACTGCTTCAAGAACTATACTTTAATATGGGCTGGATTCTGCTCAAAAATTAGATTTAACAAGTAAGTCCCCAGTCCCACAACAGGAACTATGGAACAGACACATTTATGAGTAAATAGCTGCAGGTTCAGTGCCTTGGCTGGAAATGAGGCTGGATTTGCTGCATGCAATCTCCTGTTAACAGTTCTGCTTGGATTATTCTTTCAGAAAATTTGAATCATTTACTGCAGGCTATGTGCACTGAATTAAATGCAAACCTCAAAAGGAAAAAAAAAAAAGACTTTGGTACCATTGTAAACCTATGAAAAAGTTGAATGTCTCTCAACTGTGGGCAAAACTACTCACAAAATACATAATCCTTATAGCTGAACCTGTACTGACACAGTGCATCCTTTTTTCTCCCTTACCCCTTGTGAACTATGTCAAAATAACCCTGGATATTAGTGCTTTATACACACAATACTGTGTTTAGTCTTACTGAGAAATTCTCTCATGAACTAATGTAGTTAACTTCAAAGGCTCTTTGGCCCTTCAAGTTCCTCAGTAGCTTTTTCATTTATAAATGCAAGAGAAAGAACGATCAAAGTGGAGCATCACTGGGATGCAAATCTCAAATATTACATTGGTGCAAATTTTCAGCCTTGCTTGCATGAATTTCATGTACATATTCAAAGATACATGATAAAATGTGCCCTTGTCTCACTCCCTAATCCCATGTGTTTCATACCCCCTCTTTTTCAGGGCTTACATATGGCATACATGATACTTTAAAAACAAGTAATTCTTGTGATACTCTATGCACCAGAGTGAATTCCAGTCCTTATAGAAGTACTGCATCTTCCTGAGGAGTTAACATCAGGGTAGACTGCAGATTTTAATAACAGTTAAAGATGGAAGAAATCTGTAAGGCCATCTGGTCTACTCCTTGTCCCTACAGGCTCACCTCTCACAGAAATTTTTAGTGACTTGTCCAAATACAGTTTGACTGTCCTAAACAGTTTGTCTAAAACTCTGCTTGGAAGACTATTCCACTGCCCCTTCATCTTTTCTGCCCCATTCTAAATGTAGATCACTGATTACCAGTGACAACTGTTTGATTTACCTTTGGTTTTACAACTACTAAGTAACATATTTGTAAAATTGTGGTACTCGATTTCCACTTCATTGCTTAGCCAGTGGCATGTTTTAGCCCTTTATATCATCTCATTAGCCAGCCCATCCAGTTCTTTAATATATATTGCTCCATCTGTACCTGATCCAGTTTGCCAGCATCCTTTTGGTACTGTGGTGCCTCCAAGTAAAGACAATGTTCTACATGCCAGTGAGCAAATCTGCATAGAAAGACTATTGCTTCTCTGCTCTGCAATATCCCTACACCAGCCATTTAAAATATCACCAAGGCAATAAAATGCACACCGATTTCTACTTCACTCTCTCCAAACTTTAGCCTATTGCAGATGCATTGCTTTTCAGGTTTCTCCCTTCAGGCAACATAAAGCATTGCACAGAGAGATGAATAACTTCTGTATGTTCTCTTCAACCTTTGTCTCCAAAAAATAATGTGATATACAAGGGACATAATAACCATGTATTGCAGCAAGATGTCAAGATTCATCAAATCAAAACAGAAATCTTAACCAGGCAAAATTAAGGTCATTATTTGTCTTCTGGAATAATTAACCTCAACATACATGAAAACAAACAAGATGTTATGAACACATTCTGAATTGCTACCAAATACCTAGAGAGCTTTCCATTATATTCAAGGACTGAAAAAGATTTAACCCCTTGAAACAAATATCCTGAAAAATGATGGATTTAGATCTCTAATCAAAACTATTTACCAAGAGAACCAGGTGGGAAGTCAGCATCTTGTATGCAGACTGGCTCAGTGATAAATAATAATTTTAGTGACTTTGGCAACAGTCGCTCAGGATATTCTTAATTGCACACATGATCTGCCTAGATAGTATTGGTCCAGATCTCAGTACTTTTGACTTCTGAGGTGGTAACTGAATGGTAAGGAAAAGGAGATAAGGAACAGAGAAATAAAAATCCATTTGTCCCAAAATTAGCTTTGCCAGTCCTCATATTTTTGGCAAAAGTAATGCACCTTTTTTTTTTTTTTTATGGTAAAGTTGTCTTTAAATCCAACAAAGTAAATGTAGTTTTCTGGAGACAGGAAAAAGAAATCTCAGAATGTTAAATATATTTGATTGATATTATTTTAAAAAGTTGTTCCCCAGGGGGGAAAACCCAAATTGAAAATCCTTTTGTCTAACAGTATTGAAGACCAGAGGGAATGTGCTAGTAATTAAGCAGACAGAAAATTTATATCCTTCAGATGCACGCTTGGCTCAGTTACACACACTGTCAATTCAAC